ATGTGACATCTCTACAGGATGATCCCCACAACACAGACAGTGGAGGACAATCCCAAGAGGTTTAAGAACAAGTTTTCCTTGAAACAGCAGACATCAGCCAGTACCTGATTCCACTCTTCTGCATTTTATTGGCCAGACAGTTAAATGTCTTGCCAAAGACTTCACAAAGAACGAGCAATAACTTCTCATGTGGGTGAATATGGCTATTTCCCCTCTCTGACCACTTTCTTGAGATGTTCACACAACTGCCTCTTTGTTCCTGTCTAGAGAGCTGGACGGTTGGTGATATGGAGAGCTTTTTTGCTGCAATCTCTGAGTGTTCCTGTTTATAACTCACGCCTATTTGCATACTGACCTGCACAAGTGTTCTTCATTTGCGTGCATGTTTGTGTGTATATCTTATTCTACAATTGAAACTATTAGTTCCTCAAAGGCAGAATCCTAATACCTAAATCCTTTATAGCTTTGCTGTCCCAAATTCAGGGATTTTACCTCATTTATTATTTTTTTCCATATTGCTTGGTAAGCTTAGGAATAGACTTTTATTTTTTCATTTGAAATATCTCTCAAGTGTGTTCTGGGTAGCTCCTGCAGGGATATGGTGTCAGCATGAGATATTGTTCTTGTCCTCATTAAGCTTTACATTTTTCTAGAAAGACAAGAATTAGGTATATTAAACAGGTATAATATTTAATAAAGTGCTACATTAAGATGGTTTTGAGAGGGAGATGGTTGAAACAATTGATCATCCCTGTTTTCTCTAAGGGTTAGTTAAATTTTATCCATTTCTAAATTTTCTAATTTCACCTTGACTCTTCAGAATTTAGTTATAGGTTTATTTATAGAAGCAAGACCCATGCTTCCTCTTCATCTTGAAACTCTTCCATACTCTATTTGGTAATACTTTCTCATCCCTAAGACCTCCCTCAGACTGAGTAACTACACCCAAATAAGACATTCTAAATAGGGCTTTCCTTAGGAGCACACAAGGTAGTTCTATTAAACTCGTTACACTTAGGCTACTTGAAGTTATGTATTCTTAGACATGTTCAGAACAATGGGCAGCTCCAATGTGTGCTACCACAAGGCCTGGGAGGTGATGGCTCCTGACCAGTCTCCCCTGAGCTTTGACAGTTTGGTGAAGGGAAAATACAAGTGACCCTGAACACAGCACATGGCAGTAGAGGCCTGTAGGATTTCCCAAGGTTAAACTGGGAACTAGATGTGACAACGAGTTAAATATTTGTTTGTAAAAGCTCCAGCATGGCTTTTCCTAAATATAGCATTTTTCTCTATTCATGGCAATAAAAGAATTTTGTAGATTGATTGGTTTTTTAAAATTCCCTGTTAGGGTGAAGAAAGATGAAATAGTGTATCTGACTCATGTCAGTGAACTTTTATTATAATAAGAGTCCTTGTTTAAAACAACAACAACAACAACAAACAGCAAAAGCAGGCTTTTATCTTAAAACAACAACAAAAATCTACCCAAGATTATCCATTTTGCAAAACTTATCTGAAATATATATTACTTTGAACCAGGAGTAACATTATCAGTAGATTTTCATAGTGAAGAAATTACCATAGCCTATTTATGAGAGATCTTTTGGATGATGCTTAAAAACATGCAGCAGGGCCGGCCGGGCGCGGTGGCTCAAGCCTGTAATCCCAGCACTTTGGGAGGCCGAGACGGGCGGATCACGAGGTCAGGAGATCAAGACCATCCTGGCTAACACGGTGAAACCCCGTCTCTACTAAAAAATACAAAAATCTAGCCGGGCGAGGTGGCGGGCGCCTGTAGTCCCAGCTACTCGGGAGGCTGAGGCAGGAGAATGGTGTAAACCTGGGAGGCGGAGCTTGCAGTGAGCTGAGATCTGGCCACTGCACTCCAGCCTGGGCGACAGAGCAAGACTCTGCCTCCAAAAAAAAAAAAAAAAAAAAAAAAAAACATGCAGCAGGTAAAATAACTGAAAAGCTCAAGTTATCACCTCTTAGGATCCAACCCAGTGCTGGGAGGATTGAGCTAAGAGGGATGGCAGAGTTAAAACTTTGACTTCCACAGGAAAAATAGAAGCAAAGTTTGGTGTAAGAAGATTTATTTTAAATACTACTACTGGTAGAGAAAAATCACACAGCATATATGCAAATCTCTTTGCAAGTTTAAATTGAAATAATAGCATTGGGTTAGTCCCATGGAGGGATATGTCAGAGTTGGACTTCCCAATTTAGAAAATTCTTCCCTCAGTTCTTTTATTCTCAGGATTTTGTTGTAGGAGTAAACTGAAAAGGAAGTTCACCAGCTGGCTTACTATTCAACAAAGCTGCAGATGGAGTATTACTAGTGTGCTGAGGCCACACTAGGTCCAGGTTAGACCTCAGATTCTGGGAAATGAGTTCACACTAGCCCAAGCAAATTAACAGTCATTCATATAGAGAAATGAGATTTCAAATGGAACTAGACTTCTTGTGCTAACTGGTCAACCCACTCTATTTGAGAAACCAAATGAAGTTTATAAAGTTTTTGAGTAGACAATCTGAGCAAAGGGAGGTAAATGATGCTAAAAAGTACCATCAGACTTTGAAAACCTGCTGTTGACTTTTCTCTAATACCTCTGTTGAGTGACTAGATTAACCAGATTAGTGAGTAAAAACATCCTGGCATCCCTTTCCCTAAAGGGCTAGAGACACAAGGATACATCATGTAGACTGGAAATTCACATAGTCTGGGGACCCCTGGGAGTCTCTGAAGCCCTTCCAGAGCATCTGTGAGTTACAGTTGTTTGCATTATAATACTAAGATGTTATTTTCCTTTCTTATTCTTCTTCTCAGGAAGCCTCAAGTAGCCTCTGGAAAACCTCCTAAGTACAGTGGAGTTTTCCAGAGGCTACATGACATGTGATAATGTCATCACTCTGACAGCTGATTGGAAGTGTTTAAAAGGTTTCTCCGTTTTAATTTCTAATATTATAAATAGTTCTTTAGCATTTTCAATGCCTCAGAGTGTAAAATTTCCTAAGACCAAAAGTTTAAGAACCGTTGATATAGATCATCCATTTCTGTCATCATACTACCAAACAACATGATGTTATTATTTTATATTTTACAAGATTTTAGAAATGTCCCAGTACTATGGATGAAGCCATCTTGAAGATATTTGGGAAGTATTCTATCTCACTAGCCACATAATATTCTGATTACCTCAAAAGCTCCAAATAATTGTGAATGGGGCATGTATCCTCTATAATGCATGGGTACAGTTACACCCAATCTTTTCACTGGATATATTAATCTGCAACAACAACAAAAGAAGGAAACATTGTTACCTGTGATGTATCTCTCCTTTGACAACTATCTGAAATGGTATCACAATTCAAGGGCACTATTTTTGGAGTTCTTAAACTCCAGTTGAACTGAAACTGAGAATCATAGCCTACCAGAAATTCAGGACAATCAAGCAAGTTTTTCTGTTTTTGTTTGTCTATTTATTTATTTATTTATTTTGGTGCAGTAAGTGAGGCCAATTTAAGGACAAAGCCATTTGTTTGAGATTTTTGAAGTCCATTCTTCAAGTAAAGTCACAGACACTCTGGAAGGGCTTCAGAGACTCCGGGGGTCCCCAGACTATGTGAATTCCCAGTATCCATGATGTACCCTTGTGTCTCCAGCCCTGTAGGGAAAGGGATGTCAGGATGTTTTTACTCACTTATCTGGTTAATCCAGTCACTCAACAGAAATATTAGAGAAAAGTCAACAGTAGGTTTTCAAAGTCTGATGATACTTTTAGCATTCTTCAAATACAGTCAGGCAGAAGTTGGTTCTCAGATGTTGATTCAGTTTCCAGTTAGTCAGGATCTTGAGATATGACAAGATCATTGCTTCTTGAAGAACAGAGGTGTTCTTTTTATATATATAACCACCGCCCCCCACCCCAGAAGCTGGACACATGAAACATATGTGCCTATAAATATAATATTTGCCAGCCTAGAGTTTTCTTTTGTTTCCCTCATGCTGCAGATGGACACAGAGATTGGGATAAATCTGGATGCATACATCTTCCAATCAAAGTAATTAAGCTACATAATACACGCAATAGGTATGGTTTTTATTAAGCAAGGATTAGCTGAACTTCTAACATATGAGAGGCACTAAAGGAAGTGACATGAGAAGGGCAAGACAAGGCACAGTTCCTGTGCTTCTGGGTTGCAATAACAAATGTCTTGCCATTTTCCAGTCATTACATCACAGTATCCTCTGTCGTCTACCAGAGTTAACCAACAGAGATAAGGCTAGAGGGCAACTTCTCTTTTTCTTCTTTATTCTTTTAATTTTTTTATTATTTATTCTTGTAGACATAGGGGTCTCCCTTTATTGCCCAGGCTGGTCTTAAACTCTCGGTCTCAAGTGATCCTCCTGCCTCAGTCTCCCAAAGCACTGGGACTACAGGCTTGAGCCGCTGTGCCGGGCCCCACATCTTTATTCTTTTTTACACTTATTTTATTTTATTTTATTTTATTTTATTTGTTTGAGATGGAGTCTCACTCTGTTGCCCAGGCTGGAGTGCAGTGGGGTGTGATCTTGGCTCACTGCAACCTCTGTCTTCTGGGTTCAAGCGATTCTCCTGACTCAGCCTCCTGAGTAGCTGGGATTATAGGCACCTGCTACCAGCCACACCCGGCTACTTTTTGTATTTTTAGTAGAGACAGGTTTTCACCATGTTGACCAGGCTGGTCTTGAACACTTGACTTCAAGTGATCCACCCGCCTTGGCCTCCCAAAGTGCTGGGATTACAAGTGTGAGCTACCGCACCTAGCCTATTCCTTTATTCTTAATAAGCTGAATTCATGAGGGATTTCATGGAGCCATCTCTGGCCCCTGTCCTGAGGAAAGAGCTGAAATAACTTTCATAGAAAACTTGTGGCTTAAAAACAGAAGGATATTTTCCACTTTAACATAGAGAGGAATCTTTAACAAAATAAAATGAGAGACAGTTACTATGTTCCATTTTCATCAACAGATCTTTATAATCATGTAAATTAAACCATTTTATCTTTAGGAGACATGAGAGAGAAGATAGAGGTAACAGCTAGAATACTAGCAATCTCAGGAAGGCAAAATTAAATCATCTTTTGGGAGAGGAGAGAAAATTGTGAGGAGAAGGTGCCAGTGTCAAAGATTGACTTGGCAAGGTTATTTTCTCTCTGGGAGTCTGGGAGGTGATGAGCTCCTACCGCTCACTGCCTCATCATCTTGGCTATTGGTTCCTTTCTGGGCAAGGAAGAACGTTGTCTCTCTTTTAGAGTTTTGTAGGCCTCTGTCAGTAATCCGTGGAAGACAGCTGTCCTGGGGCCCAGAATGGGCAGTCTGTAGTGAATGCTTTCTGGATGACAGTACAAGAAGGAAGGAAGGACAAGGACTATTTAGATTCTATTCTTAAAGAAACTCAAAATAAGCACAGGCCAACAAAGACTTCTTCAACCTTATAAAACAGATTTAAAATTCACCTAATATTTTGTTTTTCAAATCCACCTTTTATTTTTTTCTTAAGAAAAGGAAAAAAAGAAAATGAAACAAAAACTTCACCTAATGATTTCTTTTAATAAAATTGCCTTTTCCCCTCACAACATTTAAACTTTTACAAATCTTGTCAATGAGGCCAAAAGGAGTATCCAGAAACAAAACTCAAGTATTAGACGTCATTACCCATTAAATTAAAAATGAAGATAAAACATGTCTGATGTTGTAATACGAGTCAGAGAGAAAAGAAGATTCAATTCTCAGGAGACTTTTAAGGGACACACATATAGTTCTGTTCTTTAAAAAAATAAAAATAAGAAATAAATATGATCTTACAAAAAGCTACAGTAGGCAGAGAAAGTACTTTTGCATTTCAAAAGAAAACTGTATTTTGTGAAATAATTTATTTTGGGGTTCTTTAAAATCCTTACCCTACCTCTTCTTCAAATATGACTTATTAAAAGTTGGTTAATATTCTGTTTTTCCAGAAGACAGATTACTTGAATGGGGGTAAATCAGTGCATGAAATAACACCTTCCCATTGGGAATCACTGAGTGATTAAGAGAATTGGAACTCTGAATTCTCTGGAACAAGCTCCAGAGAACAAAGTCCAACTGAATGAGAGATAGAGACATTATAGGATCACAAACCTTGGTTCCAGTTCAGTCTCATCACTGTGCTAAAGAGGGAACAGTAGTCTAAGGTCACAGGCACTAATGGACTAAGAACCAGAACCCAGATATCCTTAATCCTAACCCAGTGCTCTTTGTGCCATATCGTACCACTGTGCCAGGTGGTAGGCTAACATCAGGTGGTTAGCATCTATATAAATGTTTATTGAGACTAAGAGTCTGTGGGTGTCATGGGATTCTGGGATCAGGTCAAAGATTCATGAAGGAATCTCCATCACTTGTAAAGATAAGTTCTTTCTATTTCCTTAGTTGTCATTAATAATTATTGATAATATGTAATGAAAAGCAGAGTCCAGAAAAAAATGCTAGCAATCATTGTGACCGACAGTTGAGTTAGACAGTCATTGGCGGTAATGTTGTTCACGGGGATGAGTCAGTCACTTGTAGCAATCCACAGGGAACACAGCACAGGTGGGAGCTGGTTTCAGCAATAAGCAGCAAGTACCACAGTATGGACATGTCTAAGCTTTATAAACAAGCGGGGCTGGAGCAGTGTCAGCAGTTTTCCTGGGTCAGTCAAAGGTGAAGACTACTTGTACCAAAGGTCTAGCTTTCAGTGGGACAACTTGCTATTCTGGTTTTACAGGTGAGCACACAGAGACCAAGCCTATACAGCAAGACTAGGATTCCTACCGAGGTCTCATTGCTTCTAGGCTAGTGCCTTTTACATGACCTCTAAGAGCACATACAAGAGCAAAGTCAGCTCAGAAGGGTCATGACTATAATAAACAGTAGATCTACCAAGCTTCAGCTCCTAGCAAGTTTTACAACTACTCTCCCTGTAGTCCCACCTCTAAGATCACTATTCTAGGATGAACTCTACGGATAAGAACCAGGGCCGCCCAAGAACATAACGTGCTGTTCCCGAGCACACAAAATCTAGCTCTTAAATTGCTAATTGAAGTATACTCCCAGAGATAATAAATTGATGAAAGGCATCTTGTTACGTTGTTCTCTAGGGCCAAAAAATATATTCTTGCTGAGGGAAAGGTATACAATGGTGGGTGTGTATGTGTGTGATTCATTCCTTTGCAAGGCAGGTCTGAAAAAATCCAGGTCCAAAGGAAACTCAGAATGAGTGTGTGGCTGGCACAGATAACTATGACATCAACTGCACATGCCTATCACCCATGTTCTCTTGGCTTCAAAAGAATGAGGTGGTCATAGACCAGGGAACAGCAGAGTGGGTAGCTTTTGTTGGGTGGGTACTCTTAGCTCCAAGCTCTTGGTTCCACTTTGGCTGAATGAGAGCCATGAGCTAGGCCAATATTTTGGGATACATAAGAAGTGATTGATTAGGACTGGAAGACTTTCATTCCATTCGAGTGGATATCCCCAAACCTCAGCTGTAACCTGAGCTTCTCATCCTCCCTTTTGGCATCCCCTCAAGACATCCCTTCAATCCTCAAATTTCCTTTCTAAACATCTTTTTAGTTCTGGCCTAGTTCCCCTGCAACCTCCTAAGATAAAAGAGTTTTCCATATGTATAGAGTGAGGAAAGTGATCCTGATTTTCTTTACTGTATGTATTAAAAGAAAGAAAAATTCAAGTGGCTTCAGTTAATATGGGAGCAAATGAGAAAATGGACACCCACTAAAGTGACAGCCTGTGCTGCAGTAAGCCCTTGAATTATATTACCCCAAATAATGGCTCACTCCATCTTCACCAGCCCAATGTTGCCTTAACTAAAGCTGAGACTTAGGTCAATGCTGAAGCCTGAAATAGAGTTTCTTTCCTTGTTTCTATCAACAGCAAGTGAAGATAAGAATAGCGCAGGCAGCTGCTGGGAGAAGGCAGGTATTTTAGGGAGCTGGTGGAGTGAAAGGTTCAGGGCCTTGGTGAGGCCACTCTGAGGGTATAGAGATGCAGTTCCCCTCCCATTTTCATTGATACCATCAGGACTGCCAATAGGGGAACTTTTATTTTGTTTGTACCCCATCTCCCTGGAAGTCTTTAGCCATATGTTGTGGACAGATCCTGGGAAGGAACATGACATGGATAAGGGCAAGTGAGGCCTAAGGAGGGCACAGGTGGTAATGGAGTGAAAGAAGGGCTGTGAACTAATCCCAGCAGGTCAAAAGACAATATGTGAAAAAGAAAGGGATAGAAAGTGAGAATTTTCTCAGGAAATTTAGAAATTATTTTAGGGATCAGACTTTTATTCTACGGCATTTTTTTCTAGTATGTTTCACACTATAAGTACTCTAAAAGAAAGCAAACCTGTTGGGATGTCATCATGGAAAGGCTCAGGGGTAGTCTGGAATTTGGGTTGATGAAAACTCATCATTCTGATTGGAAGAAATAAGAAAACACATTAGTTAATTGGCTAGGACTTGGTAGAAAGAAATGTGTCTTTATATTTATTTATTTATTTATTTATTTATTTATTTATTTATTTATTATTTTTGAGATGGAGTTTTTGCGCTTGTTGCCCAGGCTGGAGTGCAGTGGTGTGATCTCAGCTCACTGCAACCTCTGCCTCGCGGGTTCAAGCAGTTCTTCTGCCTCAGCCTCCTGAGGAGCTGGGATTACAGGCGCACACCTCCACACCTGGCTAATTTTTGTATTTTCAGTAGAGATGGGGTTTCACCATGTTGGCCAGGCTGGTCTAAAACTCCTGACCTCAGGCAATCTGCCCACCTCAGCCTCCCAAAGTGCTGGGATTACAGGTGTGAGCCACTGTGCCCGGCCTCTTTATACATTTTTAAACACATGTGATCTCTTGAATCCAGACCTGTTAACCTGGTGATCAAGCCACTTTCTAGCAATGCGAGATGATTGGTCCAAAGACTGCTAATTCTCAACCTCTTTTTGATTAGCGTTGTTTTCATGGATTTTTGATAAAACCTTCATTTTGAATGTTTTATTCCACTGTCAGAACATATGTGGTCTGAAAATAGGAGGAATAAAGGAAAGAGTTCTCCAATTTCCAGAAGAAAAAAAAAAACCAGAACTCTTCCAGATCAATAATCTACCCTTAAAGAGTAAAGCTGAGAAAATATTTTGGTTAGAACTTTCCCATTTCACAGAAAATGCCCTAACCACATCCTATTTCTCCTGGTGGGCAAGGCTGTGGAGGTGACCCTTGAGGAAAATGCATATAAGCCAAAAACACTTCTACATTAGTCTAAATTGCTTAATTTCTAAAGACTGACACATTAGTAAACTTTGATGGGCCATCTAAGGCTCTACATTCATTTCACGGTTTCTACTTCCACAAAGATCTTCCAAGATTATTTTTGCTTTGATACCAAAAATATAGCGAGTTAAGCCAGTTTGCTTTAATCAATTGTCACTGAGATTGAGAAAAAGAGAAAGCAAAACCCCTTCTATTATCCATTTTGGGCAAACAGGCAGATGGTATGTTCAGAACTGAATAGTTTAAACTCTGTCTATTCTATAATTCAACAAATATGTATCTATCCTGCCATCTTTTCTCCTTCTCTTCCTTTTTTCCTTCATTCTTTTCATTCCATAAGTATTATAATTCCTGCAATGGCTATAATTAAAGTCACTTTAAAAAAAAAAACACAATTTCTGTGAAGATAATTGCACTTGCCTACATATGCAGTGATACTTAAAAAGTATGAAAAAAGAAACCAACATCTAGTGCTAGGAACAAATTTGGAAAAGTTCAAGATAGAACCAGGCCCTTGCTTTATAGTCACTCTAGTTAAGTCTCAAACAGAAGTTGTATGTTGTCCTCCAAAACACTGAAAAAAAGAATACAACAATCAGTCTCATGATACATCTGGTTGATGTTGACATGATTTTAGGATTGGTTCAATCCTTGATCTTAGTTTTAGAGGGATAAGAGCTATTTGTTTAAAATACAACTAATTAATGTTCTGGGATTTTGCATTTAAATAAAGTACAAAACTTGCAAGATAAGTAAAATGGGGCAACAAATTTCAAAAGGTTATTTCACAGAAGGGTGGAATTTTGCTCAGAAGTCTCTGATTTTAGATGCTTCAGTTTTCCATTTAAAGTTCATAATGAATATTTATTAGAATTACCTCTATCATATAAGAGCTCTTTAAAACTATAGAGTCAGTACAGGTAAATGTTATTATTGATGGAGCTTGTACTGCTCAAATAGCCACTTCCTCCATAACCTTGTCTACCTTGGCCAGGAACTGGGTACATGTTTTCAGTGTATCTGGGTCTATATTTGAGTCTGGAACAAATGGCCCTAAGGTCATAAATGGAATCAGGACATGTACCACTGTGCAACATAAGGTTAAAAAAACCTATTTATTTTTCCACATTATTGCTTTCTGTGTGAGGAAAAAATTAAAATAGCCATTAGATTACATATAGCTTTCTTGGTTAGTCATGTGTCAGGGTGAGTATATGTCTACTTTCCAACCATCTATTGCAATGCAAGTTGACCTGTGTTGATGTCCTATTCAGAATGAGTCCATGTTTTGCATGTCGTGATAAAGTAAAAACAGAGTCCTTCTTCCCTAATAGTTAAATATAGAAGAAAAAAAAATCTTTGAAAAACCAGGCCAGGCGCAGTGGCTGACACCTGTAATCACAGCACTTTGGGAGGCCGAGGTGGGTAGATCACCAGAGGTCAGGAGTTTGAGACCAGCCTGGCCAACATGGTGAAACCCCATCTCCACTAAGAAAAAAAAAAATTAGCCAGGCATGGTGGTGGGCACCTGTAATCTCAGCTACTTGGGAAATCGAGGCAGGAGAATTGCTTGAACCTGGGAGGTGGAGGTTGCAGTGAGCCAAGATTGCGCCACCGCACTGCAGCCTGGGCGACAGAGAGAGACTCCATCTCAAAAAGAAAAAACAAAACAACACAAAACACACAAAAAAACTAATCAGAATTCCAATTGGATTTTATATCTGTTATATGCAATCTTGATAAAGAAAATAAAAAGCTTTAAATAACAACCAAACAAACTGATAAAGAGGAATTTTAGTTACTAAAACGTAGCAGAGAACATCTTGGACTAAGGAAAGATTACGTGTAATCTTCCATATCTTGGAGATTAGATACGTCATCTACATGGAGAACTTGTATTTAGTTCCATCTGAATTATCAAAGAAATTTCCTATTCTATTTCTTATATTGTTCTTGTGAAGGTGGAAAGGAAGATTATACTTTCTGCAATACTTTCAGTAGTTGTTCAAGCAAAAAGGTGAACTTTCTTTTTTGATCTAATGATTTGGTTTAACCTGAAAAAAAAAACAGTCAAGAATCCTGTTCCCAAAGCATTCCTTAAACATTCCTCTAACTATGCTTCTCAATCCACTCTCCTGTGTCCTCAGATATAATGAGAATTAAGTCATGTCCTGATTTAAATTGTTGACTTACCTATGACTCATAAAATTCTCAAAGGATGCTTTTGGATCATCTGGGATTTTCACTGTTCTTGGTTGTACCTCAAGAAGAAAGTCTCATTTAGAATGCTGCGTATAACTGCATTCTAATTTAAATACATAATGTACCACTTTAGTGAATTTGAGTTGTATTTGATATCAAAGTCCTTCATACATCCTTTTGTGATGTGAATGAACCAGAAGATTTCACCCTTCCCTCAAGCCAGCGTCATTGTTCTTCCCTGGATATCAGTTGAAATTAGATATACAGATTTAGTAAATCTTTAAAATCGGTTTGTTTAGATGCCCTCACCCCCAACACACACATGTTCTTGAGGTCTCAGGTTAGCTATCACTTTCTCAGAGACTGTTGACTGCTGGACTACTGTTCGGTAGTCCTCTGCTCTATGTTCTTAGGGCCTCCTGGATCAAAATACTCAATACCTTTATATTGTAGTTACTTGTGTAATGTCTGGGTTCCCTAATAGACTTGCAGCTTTATGAGGGCATAGTCCTTGTCTCTATTTTTGTATTTCCAGCTGCTAACACGATGTCTGTTTAAGAAATATTTTTGATCAAATTAGTGAATGAATGAACCCACCTTGAAGCACACTTGAAATTTTAAAGGTGTATTTCATACAGGCCTAAAATCAATGCACAGTTACAGTATTTTTGGTTAAGAAACATCACTTTCTTGAACTTTTCCAAGTTTGTTCCCAGCACTAGATGTTGGTTTTAAGAATGTTTTCACTAGGAAGCATTTTTCCATTATTTCTCAAAAATTATTGTAGCTATAATAATAAAATGATAATCACAAAGATGTGGGTGCAGGTCACTCTACTAAGTGACTTGTACAAAGTGACTCGTACCAAGTGACTCATGATTTCAGTTTATGACATAACAAAGTTACAATTACAAGGTCTTAAGGACCTTTAGAAGTGCTTGAAAATAGCAAAACAAAAAACAAAAAACAAACAAAAAAAAAACGAATGCAAAGGCTATACAAATGCCAAGAACATACTATGTTTAATCAGCTTGTTCTCCTAACTCATTAGCTGAAGAAAGGATGGGAGAGGGAGAGGAGGTGATCTGGTAACAAGGAGTCTCTGGGCATAGTGGGGGCAGCCAAGGCTTTAGTAAGAACCTGAGGAGAGATTTCTAAACATAAAAGTGGATGAGAATGTACTAGAGACAGACTGCTTTATTCAAAAATGTATCTAAAGTTGACTCTGCTACAAGGGAAGATGCAGGAAACCCTAACTCCTCCTGAATAGCATGATTCCTGTTCTAAATCCCCTAAATCCAGCCAGTGCTGTTGTATGAATGAACTGTGCTACAGGGGTGACATCAGAACAAAGCTGCCTGCCAAAGACAGGATTTTTGTTTTTGAGAAAAAGGGTACTGTGATAGACTCCTATTCACTCTTGAAAAGACTCTTGAATAGAGTCTTTTTTCTTCAAGGAAGACTTCCCTGATATTTACTTTCACTGTCCCTTCACTCCCCATCAGATCTATTTTTGTTTACATTGATCACACTCTATTGTCATTATTTATTTGTTGACTCCTTAAAGACAGGTCTTATGTCTTTCTTTTCTTTTTTTCTTTGCAGTTTACCTAAGTACCTGTCCCATGGCAGACAATCAATAAATATGTGTTGAAATAAACTTAATTTATTTTGAAACAATTTTTAAGTATATATGCTAGAGAATATCTGTTTACAGTATGTCTAGCTTGACCGTCCTACTTTTAAGGGACTTGAAAGTGTTAATTAGAGAGCAATGCAGATAACAGAAGGACTACAAAATAGGTGCATGAAGGGGAAAATGAGCTGTTTGGAGCAGAGATGTCATAAAACACAGCCTAGATAAAACCAAGGCAAATATCCCTAGTGATTCACAACCATAACTGTCAGTAGGTATTTCTTCTGCACTAAATGAATGAGCTTCTGGCCCAAGGTTACATAGGAATATGAGTAGTTATATAACCAGGTCCTATTTACATTTTTTTGAGATTCATTCACTTTGTGCTTTTATTTACTGCTAATTTCTTTTTATTGGTATTTATGATATCATGTATTATAAGTCACCATCTTAATGTACAATTTAGTAGTTTTTAGTATATTCAGAAAGTTGTAAAACAATCACCATTATTTACTCCTAGAACATTTCTTGACCCCAAAAAGAAACCACATACCTATTAGCAATTACTTCTCATTCACTCCTCCCCCCAATCTTTGACAACCACTGTCTATTTTCGGTCTCTATGAATTTTCCTATTTTGGACATTTCATATAAATAGAACCAATATAATATGTGATCTTTTGCATCTGGTTTCTTTTACTTAGCAAAATGTTTTCAAGGTTCATCCATGTTATAGCATGTTTTAGTACTTCATTCTTTTTTATGATTAATATTCTATTATATAGATAGATCACATTTTGTTTATTCATTAATCAAGCTATAAGCATTTGGGTTATTTCCACTTTTCAGCTATTAAGATATGGCTGCTATGCACATTCTTGTAGAAGTTTGTGTGTGAATATGTTTTTAATTGTCTTGGGTACATATTTAGGAATGGAATTGCTGGGTCATATGGTAAATCGGTGTCTACGGTTTTGAGGAATTCCCAAACTGTTTTCCAAAGCAACTGTACTGTTTTACATTCCTATCAGCAACTTATGAGGATTCTAATTTCTTCACATCCTGGCCAACACTTGTTATTATCCACTGTTCTATTTTTAATATTATTACAGCCATCCTAGTGCATGGAAAGTCTGTATCATTGTGGTTTTGATTTGCATTTGCTTAATAACAAATAACGTTGAGTATCTTTTCATGTGTTTATTGGTCATTTGTAGATCTTCTTTAGAGAGTGTCTATTGAAACTTTTTGCTCACTTTTCAACTAGGGTGTTTGCCTTTTTATTGTTGAGTTGTAAGTGTTCCTTATATATTCCAGATACTAGTCCTTTATCTGATATAATCCTTCATCTGTTGATTTGCAAATATTTGGGTTGTCTTGTCATGCTCTTGATGATGTTCCTTGTAGCACGAAAGTTTAAAATTTTGATGAAGACTGATTTATCTATATTCGTTTGTTGTTTGTGCTTTGGGTGTCCTATCTTAGAAACCATTGCCTTATCCAAGGTCATGAAACTTTATACCTATGTTTTCTTCTAAGAGTTTTATGGTTTTAGGTCTTACATTTAGGTCTTTGACCTATTTGAGTTATTTTTGTACATGGTGTGAGGAAGAGGTACAAATTCATTCTTTTGTATGTATCTATGCAGCTGCCCCGTACCACTTATTGAAAATACTATTCTTTTCTCATTGAACTGTCTTGGTGCCTTTGTCAAAAATCAATTGTTTATAAATGTAAGAATTTACTTCTGAACTCTCAATTTTATTCCATTGATCTATTTGTCTATCTTTATGGAAGTACCACACAGTACTTAATTTCTATTAAGAGCAATGAACAACAGACAGTCCTGACCATAGCTTTGTAGTTAGTTTTAAAATCAAGAAGTGTGAGACCTCCACCTTTGTTCTTCTTTTTAAAGGTTGTTTGACTATCCTGGATCTCTTGCATTTTAATATAAATTTTAAGATATGATTGCAAATTTCTATAAAATGGCATCTGGGATTTTGAGGATTACATTAAATATGTAGATCAGTTTGGGGGAGTATACCATCTTTACAATGTTAAGTGTTCCAATCCATAAACACAGGGTTCTTTCCATTTATTTAGGCCTTTTAAATTTTCTTTCCACAATGTTTTATACTTTTCATTGTATAGCTCTTGCGCTTCTCTTGTTAAATTTATTCCAAGATAATTTTTGAAGCTATTACAAATGGCATTGTTTTCTTCATTTTTGGATTGTTCACTGCTATTAACATAAATTGAGGTTCATATATTGATCTTGTATCCTCAACACTGCTGTATCCATTTATTAACTCTAATAGTTTTCTACGCATTCGTTAGGACTTTCTCTATATAAGATCATATCATCTGCAAATAGACTAGTTGTACTTCTTTCTTTCTAATGTGGATGGCTTTTATTTCTTTTTCTTATGTTTCTGGCTAGCGTGTATAGTAAAATGTTGAGTAGAAGTGTCAGGAACAGACTGACAACAACAGAACAGATTGTTGCCTTGTTTCTAATCTTAGGGGAAAGTATCCAGTCTTTTACCATTAAGCAGGGTGTCAGCTGTTGGTTTTCCAAGCTGCTCTTTATTAGGTTGAGGAAGTTCCCTTCTATTCCTAGGAGTCTTTTTATATATTCCCCAGTATTTCTATTCAACTCACTGCTGAGAAAGAAGGGGTGTCACAGTGACTAGAGCAGATCGGCAGTCCCTCCCCTTGGGAGGACTTTGAGGTGCTACTGCATAGAGTGAGGCAAGGGTATTTCATGTTTATTTTCTAACTTTCTGTAGTTTCTCACTAGGTTCTGACAGCAGTAGAGAAGGGTCCCTGGGCACTTTTGTGTTCGAAGCCCTTCCTTTTAGAAGCTGCAATAAATGGTAAAATTACAGCATGTGGCTCCACTTCTATCGTTCCTGGACAAGGGCAAAGGTCAGAGAAGAGGTCTTGAGAAAGAGGACTGCTGCTGACGTCTCAAGTGTGCCAGCTGGCCAAGGCCAGCTTAGGCCTGGGGTTAGTGCATTCTAAATGTGGACACAAGGGATTCCAGGAATAAGACCAGGAGAAATCCCAATTCTAGTTTCCCAGACTCCAGCCAATGCTAATATTTAACACACACAATGACCCTAATTATGTAGAAAATGAACATAGATGGCAACATCCAGGTGCAGCTTTGCCAGCAGCTTCAGTTAAATTTCTAAATCCCACATATAAAAATTTCACAAAACTGCCGCTTTCTTTCATATCTGACTGACCTGAAGACTTGCCATGAACTCAGTGAAGGAGCTTCTCTTATACCTTCCATTTTTCTTCCATTCCTTTAAAGCACATTTAGCCTACACATTTAGCCCCACTTTTCTCCCGAAGTCAAAGGAGAATTATAGGATATCAGAGTTGAAGAAACCCTTCTTCAGCTCTTATGTCAAACCTAACCATGTTGCTAAATTAACCCTCAACCAAAGCCTCTTCCTTACCCTGACGCTAACAACCATACCAATGCTAACTCTAATTCTTAATTTAACCCAAGTCCTAACTCCAGCCTAGTCTAGCATCCTTCCTGAATCAGGCCTCTGATTCAGCAACTGTGATAGGTGGCAGAAGTTCGTTTTTGTTCCCTCCACATCTCCCTTGCTCTCCTTCTTTCTTTTCCTAATACTCCTTCCCGACTACCATTCTCCACTACATATTACAAGTATCCAAGGCAGCTGACACCACTCCCGACTACCTAGAAAGTACTATAGACTCTCTCCCCAGTCTTTCTCTTGAGGTGCAAACTAAATTAACAGTAAACCCAAAGATGAAGCTGTTTGTCTTCTGATTGTAATGGTGGAGAAATGAGTGTGTGCATATGTGTTGTGTGAGGGCTACATTAAGGAGGGAGAAGGAGCTCCATAATCCCCTAAGCCTCTGAGAGTCTGTAAGTTACTTAGGAGCCCAAGACGAAGTGGCTCATTGCATCTCTACTCTGGCCCACCTATCTTGGTTACCCTTTGGCTTGTTGAAATGGAGAAGGTTTACCATGTTCTGTCAGTCGATGCTGCTTCCAGGACCAACCGTTCCTCCTTGGCAGCCTTTACCTAGGCCCTCCTTGCAACGGGTCCCATCACTATCTCTCTCCACAGGGCTTGGTGGGGAAGGGCAGTGCTGCACCCTGAGGTGCCTGTGCCCATTTCTGTCTTCCCCCTTGCCTACCATTTTCATTTCTCGACATGTGGAGCACAGCTGTTGGTTTCTGAGCAGCATGGAGTCACGCTGGTTCCTCCTGGTCTGAGGGGAGAGACAGAGAAAGGTGAGGAAACGGTGGGGCACATAGGGCAGCAAAGATGTAGGAAAGCAGTGGAGGGGTGAGAGAGGTAACAGTTTTTCTTTCCATAAAACAGAGATGGGCACTCTGGTCTCAGCCCCATCCAGGGTGGGTGTTGAATCTGGAGTGTGCTGCAGTTGGTAGGTTCTGAGAGTTCAGGCAGGAGGGAGTGAGACACAGGCTAGGTGGCGGTCTTCAGGCTGCTGCATACAGTGGTATAGATAAAAAGACAGCTGGCAGAGATGGCTGGGGCCTGAAATTCAGTGGGGTCTCTACTTTCCAGCCTGAGCACCTGTGTCTGAGGGGCTGCATTCTCCTATAGGTGGGCTATATTTTCCATTTCATACAAAGCCTCCACCATATAGACTGAGGATCCCTGATGGCCTAAGAAAGAATGAAGAGAAGACTTCTCTTCCTCAAACCTTTTTTCACGGGCCTTTCCTAAGCATCACCCTCCTTTCTCATGCCTTAACCCTGGGCCAGCATCAGCTCTCATGCATCCATAGTCCAGCACCATTTGGCCCTTCTGTACCTCCTAAGCACAATGATTGAAGCCACAAGCAGAACTCAAGCTTCTGTGTGGGTTCTGAGTCCCTTCAATCCTCTGGGAAAGAGAGGCTGTATCAGCAGGTGAAGAAACAACCAGTAGAGGAAGGGGAGGGGCACTGTGTCTGTTCATTGTAACCACTGGTTTTTGTTCTGACTTCATTTCTGCAAAAGGGTTAAAGAGAGGACTTTGGAGCATTTATACCTGGTTCAGGAGATTCTCATTTGCATCTCTGATAAAGGCTTGCTTAGGAAGCCTATAGGAACTTAAGACTAAAAATATGTTTGGGGATTCTCTCTTAATCTTCCTCATTCACATTTACATCAGTCATGAGATATGGTCACAGGAAGTGTAGAATATGGGGAAGGGGAAAACCACAGTGAGAAGACTATTGACTAAAGTCTTCTCTTTCCTTTGATCCACTTGCTGGCCCATCACTACATGGTGTGTCTTGACCCATTCCTGTTGCCCTGGGAGGCGTGGGGAATAGAAAGAGGAAGAACAGAAAGTGAGGAGTTTCTGAGGTGTGCTTCTAGGATGACCTCTGCCAGATTGTTCTGCAAGTAGCTTCATCCTGTGAGAGACATACAGCACTTAGGTGAGGCATCATTGGGGGTTGGAGGGCTAAAAACTATTAACAAAGTTGAATTCTTTTGATAAATATTTAAAATACACTTCATTTTTATAGGGCATTCTAAAAAGGATCAACTCAGTATTACAATGTTGTGGGTTGGTATGTCAAAGTATGCGTGTGAATAACTAGATTCATTCATTCAACAACAAACATCTATTGTGAGGCTACCAAGTAAAGGGTGCTGTGATGGGGGTCATACCAATGAATAAGGCAAAGTTTCTGGAAGGAAGTCTGTAAGGAAGACAAAAGAAGAATACAAATTTATTCATTTACCCAATCATTAGGTACTGGAGACATTTAAATAAATAAGACATAGTTCATGACCTCAAGCTGCTCACCATCCAAGAAGTATGATAGTGCTGAAGGTGCTACAACAGAAATGTATCAAGGCCGCAATGAAGCTGAAAAGGGTCATTGAGCTTAACTGGGGGTGGGGCAGAGAGGGAAGGGTCTGAGAAGGGTGAAAAAAACAGGCAATGCTAGGGTAGGTATTTGTGGAGTGAACAAGGATGGTGAGGGTGTTACAAGCCCAGGAAACACTATGCAACAACCTGGAAGAATAACCTAGCCAATCAGCTTCAGGTAAGTGAATGTAGGTTGGAATGGACAGGTTGTCTGGTTGGAGGATGAATGGAGTGAGAAGAGAGACTAGAGGGGAAGTGTCTGTGTGTACTGACTCCTCTGCTTTGGGCTGATTCAACTTTCTACCATGTCTTCCTGATACCCCTGGGGGTGGTATCCCCTGAAGCTCCAGCTCCTCCCTCCATCCCTCACATCTCTGAGGTAGGAGAATGAGGTACATTTCTGAAACTGCAATTAAGGTAGGACACACTAGATATCACACAAGAGGCGGTAATACCTCTGTGCCTTCAGAAAACAGAGAGACCACTTCTGATTGGAGAAATCAGGGAAGACTTCCTAGAAGTGGAATTGACACCCAGTCTGAAGGGATGAGGAAGACCTGGACAGGGGGAGGCAGATATGAGAGAATCCTTGGGCAGGTTTGTTTTTAGTAGAGTTATAAGTTCTTCACTGAAATTATTTACTTCACCTTTTTCTAGACTTCTGGTTTCTGCTAAGACTATTACTAGACCATACAGGAATTGCAATCTCAGAGCTCATTGCAAATCAAGCAACAGATATTATTTGCAGATCTCCAAAGTGTATTGCAAGATCTTGCTGGGTTAATGACAACTGTAAATGTGATTACAGAGTCCCATAACATAATGACTGTCATCTCTTAGAATCTGAGGCATGAAATGCTTATATATTGTCCCACCTGGCCTTGATAACTACTCATTTAAGACATAGTGTAGGTGTTACATCCTCAGAAAACCTTTCTCCTGGACCTGCTACCATTTCTCACCCTCCTAACTTCAGTTGGGTGCCTGCCTCTTTGATTGCATCATAAACTCGGTCTAGCTTTCTTTGTATTTGCACTATTCTTCTTGTTTTTAAATGTGTTTGTTTCCTCCACCGGGTTGAGATTTTATTATATTTAAGAGCAAGAATCATGTTTTACACATCTTTGTACTCCTAGAACCTATGATAGAACCTGGCACATAGCAAGTATTCAATAAACATTGGGTGAATGAATGAGTCATTGTAAGCAATTTAAATTATGAGGTCTAAATATAGACACAATCAACATATATATATATAAAACAAAAAATACATATATAAATGGATATCACTATTATAACACTGTCTTCAGGGAAATGTTACAGAACATTTGTGTTGTAGTGCAACAAATTCATTCTATGTAAAACACTGGAGAAGAACACTGGCTAGATGCCCAAAGAGCTCTGTTCCAGTCTTGCCTCATAAACAACCTGGGTGACTTTTGTCAATCATATAAACTCTCCAGGTCTCCCTTCCCCTACTGATAATGGTCTTTGTGGCCAAAAAGACAGAGGCGGATGCTCTAATCCTGTCCCTTTACACTTTACATGTAAAGGTAAAAAGCAATCTTTGATCTGTGCTGTACTCTACCTCAGACTCACTATCAGCTGAAGCCTGGCTTCCAAGAAGGGATGCTCCATTTCTATCTGGAGAAGGCATGAGGGCATTGAAGGGTCACGGAAGGCACCTGTGACAGGCTACTTTAAAGGTGATGCGAACATTTGAGACTCCATGTCCTGCAGGTCTCATTTCCTCCATTCTGTCTTGCTTTCTTTCCCAGCCCTGAAACCCAGGTCTTTGGTCTTTTTCTTCTGTTGCATTCCCTTCTCACTCTTGGTTTCCTTATGACCAGCTCAGCAACAATAACAGGAATGGAGAGGGAATTGTCCAGGTTCACAGCACAAGGCCCTGGTTTTATTAGGTCTAGAGCCAGAGGCACTGGAATGTTAATGGGGCCCTCATTTCCCAAGCAGCTGTCCTCTGGATAGCAGATGGCAGTTGTGACAGGAGAGTGACAGCAACCTATGTGTAGCCTGGCCAAGGTATGATGCAGATTTCAGCCAGTCCCCAGAAGCCAAAACACATTTGACAATTGGAAACATCCTCATATCTGAGGACAATGTCTGCTGCGGTGTCTAAGGGCTGGCTCATGGCCCAAGACTGTGGCCTTCTTGAACCCTTGGTAAAGAAACAGAAACATATTTCTCTCCATCTCCCTCTCCCTCTACTCTCCTTTCTCTCTTTCACTCTCTTTCTCTCTCTCTTACACACCTGTTCACATAAAAACCAAAAAAGCTTGCAATTAAAACAGGCTTCATAAGCACCCTGTGAAGAGTACTGACACATTTGCCTCTGTCCTTTCCTTCAACACCTCCATTTCTTTTCTCCTTCCCACTTTTAACTTAACTGAGAGACCTCATAGAACACCTGGTTCAAATCTTTCAATTTACCCAGTGAGAAAGCTGTGGCCCAGAAAGGTTAAGAGATTTGTTCAATGCCACATCTATTGAACTTCAGTTGGCTAGAAAGTTTTTGGATAAAAAGGATTATCTTTCCTCAGGAGAATAGTAAACTCTTAGAATCCATATAAAGGCCACGCACGGTGGTTCACGCCTGTAATCCCAGCACTTTGGGAGGCAGAGGAAGGCGGATCACAGGATCAGGAGTTCGAGACCAGCCTGATCAACATGGTGAAACCCCGTCTCTACTAAAAATACAAAAATTAGCCAGGCGTGGTGGCATGCGCCTGTAATTCCAGCTACTCAGGAGGCTGAGGCAGGAGAATCACTTGAACCTGGGAGGTGGAGTTTGCGGTGCCATAGAACTCTAGCCTGGGTGACAGAGCGAGACTCCGTCTCAAAAAAAAAGAATCCATATAAAGGCAGAATTATTTCTACCACGTAGAATCCCAAAAGTAGTGCTCAGAGAACTAATTTCAATATTCAAAAAACTTTATGATATTACACATGTTCCTTCTATCTGAAAATGTCAGCCATTTTAAAGAATAAAGCTGAATATACCTTCAAAAATGCTCTTAATGTTCACTAGGAAAAAACCCCGAAATGTATGCAAAATAATAGATGGCCATGTCCCTACATTCAGACTTATTAAATTTGATTTTTATTACCATCACTATTTTAGGTCAATAGCATTTAATATTCTCTTTAAAAATTGTATTTGTAGTTATTTGCACTAGATCAACATAAGCAATATAAATATGAAAATGACTTAGGAGTAAATGAGCTAGTTTCCTTGGTAGTTATGAGCTTTGAAAATTTAGTAAATGTCAGAGAAATAATAAAAAGAGAGTTCTTAGTGGTGAGAAAATAGAAAGTCAACATCCTATACATCATCCCCAGCTATGCCTCTGCTACTGCACAATCTTTTTAGCCAGGGCTTTTTGCCACAGGTCTGCTAAAAGCAGAATAATAACATTCTTATCTTCACTCTGACTCATTAGACTGGAACAACAAACCCAGATCAAAGTGAGTAGAGAGAGACTGGGGGCAGGAATTGAGAGGGTGGAGTGGCATTTTATAATCTATTAGTAACTGAGGAGTTCTAGCTAATTTACACCCAGTACCAGCAAGTGGGCAAAGGGGTTTGAGAGTCCCCAGCTGCAGTTTTCCAGGTCACCCCCATACACCTGCTGTTCCTTTGCCTTGGATCACTGAGTCAGTCACCTCTTGACCCAGTTACCCAACTATCGTGATGCACCTTTCTGTTTCTCGGCATCTTGAGGAGTCATGAGTGGATGCCTGGAAATGGCAGGTGAAAGCAATGACTAACGAAGAAGCTTCTCCACAGTAGATGTTTAAATGAGGAAATGTTTAGGCTTCTTTTGTCTTCACTAAAAGTCTTTCTTCTTTGATAGACCTGCCTCTCCTTTTGTTTTGTGTTTTTTGTCCCTCATCTCTGTGGGTGTGTTTCTCTCTTGCTTTCTGCTCCCTTTCCCTGTTATTGTGTCTCTGAGCCTGTTTCCTCTTTGTCTATTCACTAGGAAATACTGCTCCAGGCACACGGGCACCTGCCTCAGCCACGGGGCTGCTCCTGGGCAGGGGAGGAGTAAGCGGGTGTTTAAAGTTCTGCCCTTTGACCTGTGATGGTGAAGAGGAAGGCAGCCAGGTGGCAGAACCTTTGCACCACTGCACAGGGTCCAGGGCCTCCAGTTGGCCTCTGGATTGCCAGCAGCTTCTTGGCAGGTCCCTAATTTAGAGGGTGAAGGAAGAGATCGTGTCCACAGTACATTCTACTCCCTTGAAACAAAACAGTTTCTTTCCAGAAGGAGCAGCTGCCGGCTGAATCCATGTTTACCTCATGGCACATACGTGCAGGCCTTCATACACGCAGTAGACTCTGGGAGCCAGATTCAAATTTGAGGACGTCTGTGTGACAGGAAAGAATATGACTGGAGGTACCTGCCCCGTGCCCCAACAGAGCAAGGACCCCGGGTTCCTTACTTGTGTTTCAATCTGCAGGGGTGACTCTTTCTCACGTGCAAATCAGTGGAGGGTCAGCCTGCAACACGATGAGTGAGGGTGAGGTTGAGGGGCCTGTGTTCTCACTCAGTAAGAGCAACCTATCTGGGACTTCTCACGGGTCAGTCAGGAAACTGACCTCCCAGGCACCCTTTGGGCTATGCAGCTGGAAGCTATTGCTCTTAACTGTCATCTAGTGGCTAACCATGAATATTGCAACCACAAAAACCTCTATACCCTGCTGGAGAAGGGCCTCTCACTCCCACTGGTTGTTAGGATTGGCTTTCCTTCCCCATTCTCCACCCCAGCCAGGCTGGGACTTGGTGTCCTAGCGCCTAGGTTGCCACAGTACAGAGACCCAGAACAAACCTGAGATGAGGAGGCGTTCAGCGGCAGGTGAGACGTGTCTAAATAGGAAACTCACAGCGACTTGATGACTGAAAGGCTTCTTGCTGGTTCTGCAGCAATTGCTAAGCCTGTCCTGCCTCCCCGCTCATCCCCCACCTCCACCCAGTGCATGTCATGGTGGTCATGTTACCTACTTGCCTGCCCAAGGTGTTAGGGGGACTAAGAGATGACTCTTAAGCAAAGCTTGGACCCTGAAACTCCGGTGTTGAAAACCTTCAATGTGTCCTCTCTGCTTTTGTCTGTTGGGCCCTGTATGCATTAGCTGGGCCCAGCTGTGTCCTTGTTTCCCTTTCATGTATGCTCATAATTCCTTGATATTCTTCAGGCATTTCCTCCTGCACACTCAGTCTCCACCTCTTTGCTGATAATCTTCTCCTCTTTCCAGTTCTTCCTCCACCCCTGGCTCTTCCCTCCACTTGAAAACAGTATCTTCTAGATCCAATGCAGATGCCACTTCCTCTTGAATCATTCCCTCACTCCCACTCTGCTTGCCCAACCTGGGGGTAACCTTTGTTCCCACCTTCTCTCACAAGTGCTGTGCCCCATCTCTGAGACGCATTCTCAGTTGTGTCCCCGTCCTGTCTGCTCACTCATCTGCATAGCTGTGGCTGACTTACTCATCTCTGATGTATTAAAGCAAATACAAAGTCCTCTGTAAACATTTATTGACTGACACCAGGGCTCCTAATAATTGTGGCTCACATTCACTGAGCTCCTGCTCTGGGTGGGCACCGTGTCAAGTGCCTTAGGGCGCTGCTTCAGGCACTGCCTATGACAGCCCTGTGAGGAATGTGCAATTTTTCAGGTGAAAAAAACTGCTTATCTCACCATATGTTTTCTTTCTTTCTCCACCTCAGGAAGGTGCTGACTACCCGAGCCCTGTAGCCTGTGTGCTTGCTCCACAGTGACACTGAGGGTCACTTGGCAGCCGGTCACGGTGGAGGGGAAATGAGGAGTTTTTAATGTAAAATTCCACAGGTGTCAGGAGTTGCAGGTGGGAGACATAAGCATTCCTTTGGGGGAGGCATTAGAGACTCCTGATTGGTTCCAGTCACAAGCTGATAGGCATTCCCTGGAAGTCTTGGGGCAGATTCCTCCATACTCATTTTTAGTTTCCTGTTCTGTTGATTCTAACCTTATGCCTGTATTCTTAGTTCTAGTGAACTGGGGCCCTTAGGCACTTGAGACATAGTGAGGGGGGTGGGGCCATTCACTTCATTTAACAAATATTTATTGAACACTGATGGTGCACCAAGCGCAGGGCTGTGCTAAGGAGATGAGACATGTATTCATATTCTATGTCATTCTAGAACTGCTGTTGTTTTCAATAAAAATTTTTGAATACCTTAGATAAAACATCTGGAACTTGAAACAAAATTGGCAAATTCATATTCCTCTTGGACGAAGTCAGAAAAGTCGCAGAGGAAGGAGGATATCTAAGTAATTAAAACAAGAGAAAGTTAGAACCACAGTCCCGCATTTGAAGAGCCAGGCCCTTGGTTGTTTCTGAGAGAATACAAGGGACACCACAAGGAGCTGCCTTCCACTCCAGTTCTGGAGGACTCAGGCCATTGAGGAGCTCCCAAAAGATGGATTTGCCCTCCTATGTCACTTTGGCTTTTCTGTCCCTTTTGTTTTGCACTAACCAATTTTGGATTGTCAGTGTACAAACAAGGCAGGATAAAGATTGTTCACAACAGTAGACGTGTAATGAGCAAAATGAATCCCAGGTTTTCTCTTTGAAAGGGTCTGCACTCAAGTTTTCGATGTCTCACTTGTGCCTGTCCCCTTTCATACCTGGGCTGACTTCTTGGAGTTTGTGTCCTTGCACCCTGAAACAATCCACCTGTTTCCTCCCACAGAACGTCTTCTCCCTCCACCCATTCTTTTCCTTTGCAACATTTTTTCTTTCTAGTTATCAGTTGAAGCAGTGATGTTGCAAGAACACCAGTTGTTTTTACAGGGTGACCTGCCTGTGCTCTGTCTCACTTGGTACTGTCGTTCATTTCATTACAGTGTACGGGGCCAAGACCTGCAGGGGCCTGATAATCATAAACTGTTTGTGTGTGTGGCACCATTCATGCCCCTGGCATCCAAGAAGTAGAAACTCAGAATGCTGGCAGTTTTGCCGGGAACACATCTCCTCTTTAATGAGGAAAGAGTTCATTGTCCATTGTTCATTTAAAACAAAGGCATGTGGAAGGGGTTTGATGTTCATGAGGCATTTCTTGTTTCATTTCTCCCCACACTTCCCTAGACCCTGTGAGACCAGAGATGGTGGGTCTGACATCAGTGCCCTCAGGGTCTTTGTCTTTGATATGGGAATAGACTGTCTTGGACTTGTCACCCAAATGCTGATGAGGAGAGACCAGGAGGCCAGCTTAGAACTCCTTCAGCACACAATAATCTTATACAAACAGGACCTTAGTGTGACTTGAAGGGCTTTGGAGACTGACGATGAGGGTGGCTTCGAAATTGTCAGGCCAACCTGAGAGAGTCCTTGAAGGAAGTGGGTCAGTACAGGCACTTCTTATTACAGCCCAGCCGCACCTCCTCCACCCGCGCAGGTGTGTTTCCATTGCGCACAGCTGGAATTACTCTGAGCATATTTGGCTAAATGTTCCTTTATCTTTTTCAGACTGTTCTGCATTAGAACTCTTTGCTCAAGGGTATGTAATGCTTAAGTCACATTGAGAACTTTCTCCCAAAGTCTCAGTAAGGGGCTTTGCCAAAAATAAACAGCTTGGAACCCAGAGCTTTGTCTCACATGAGGAGCTTTTAATCCTCAAGATCTGTTGATACTTAAACCATCCTTTCAAAAGACTTTACATTCCTGTCTTGTCCTCCTGAGAGTTCAGGGCACCTCAGAGGTGCTGTTCAGTCACCTTTGTTGTGAGGTAGGTGTATTACATTTTTCTAAACAAGAATTGAGATTGCTACCCCAATCCTCCCAGAATAGTGATGAGTAGAGCTTCACTGCCTGCCTAAGGTAATTTCTTCTTGTGCCTAGCCTAGGTTTGGCTGGCTGGAGGAAAAACTACCCACTCCCTTTCCAGTTGGCTGTCAACAGACTGTCTGCTCTGACCCTCCAGGACCTGGCTGTGAAATTGAACAGGTGCTGCCGAAGGCCAGTTGTATTCTGGGCCTACCCTTCTCCCTGATCTTCACCCTCTGCCAAAGGCTTATATAATTAGAGACCAAGGGAGCTGGGGGCAAGAGAGCCATGCACAAGGATACTTTGCTCTTGGCTGCTGGGGCAGGTCTAATGGACATGGGGGTAGTATGAGATGGTGGGATATTACCCTATTAGATCAAACACTAGCAATTTCACATAAAACATCCAGATTTCTAGTACTATTAGAAGACCCAGTGGATCTGGCCTCTGGACTCACATGCCTGCAGGTAACACTGCTGGGGTGCGGGTGGGCTGAAGTGGGGAGGTGATTTCCATTCACTGCAGTCCTATTTGGCCAGCTGTACTCATTATGCCCCTCATCTCACTGTCATGGGCCTGTGAGTTTGTGTCCCACCCTCAATGAAAATATGCTAGACTATCCTTACTCATGCTGATCCATGTAGCGTTAACAACTCTTAATAAGCCCTCTATCACTTAGTGCTTTTGTTTCTTAAATAGGCCTTTGAGTTTATTGAACCTCTGATAATCTGCTTTAGATTCAAAATTATGTAAAAGCAACACAACTGAATAATGAGCACTTGAAAGCACTTGTGAATTTTGTTCTGAAAATACATAAAACTGTACCTACTTACTGAGAATGTGATTTTTTTTTTAAAGTAGAGTAGACAAAGTAAAGGTACGTGTTACTAAAGTGGGGATGTGGAGATAGTGATGGGAATTCGCTCACGAAGTCATTTATCCATGGGCAGGAGGGTACATGGTAGTTATCAACAGGAGGAGAAACTCTTTTCGGGGAGTCTGGCTTTTCTAACAAGCTGTTTCGCATGCCAAGGAGTGGATCCTTTTTTGTCTGTCATGTACCTTTGGAATGGCCTCTATGCCTGCCTTTTCTTTGCCCTCCTTCTGGTTTCTTTCATTCACCCCAACACTGCTTCAAACTTACCCTTCTGTCCATGTCCCCTTTCCAGAGTGGGGTTTATCACTACACTTAGGAACCATTTCATTAAAAATGGAGAAGGAACATGGTAACCCAATAATTTCAAGAGACAGCTGAAATGCTCCCTAGACATGTAATTCCTGCAATTTTGAAAAATAGATGTATGTGTCACATAGTAGTCTGTCCGGAAGGAATAGGACTAACAAGATTGTAGGAGGGTACCTCAAAGTTACATACAGAGTTACTATTCTATAAAGATGGGAACTTACTGTTCTAGACTTTTGATGGTAAAAATGTGAAAATTTCAGACTATAGCAGTGGAGAAAAGGTGGGGTGAGAAAGAGGATGGAAGTGTTTTGAGAGACAGTGTCTAGCGGCAAAATTATCTTATACTGTTGAGTGGTAGAGGGAAATAATTTGAGATCTCATCTCTAGCCAAGTCTATACTCAGTGATCATTTTTGTCTGAGAAACCCGGAATATTTCTATTTTTAAAGCACTTGAGTTTCTCAATGGATCAAATGCGCCCTCTGATAATTGTATAATTATCATCCCTTAAGAAGAAATCATCTTCTATGAGATGTTTCGTAAATCTTTTGCCCTCAGTGGCTGAGAGGTTACCTTCTGGGGAGGCTGAGCACTAGTGGCTTGTTTACGAGGCTGGCCTCACTAAGCCAAGGAATCTTGTCAAATTTTGCAACAGAAGCCTAGAGGGAAATAGAGAACATTTTACAGAATGTATCACACTTAAACATTGCTATCATTATGATGGCCAAAGTCAGCTAATAGCAGCCATATAGTGAACACTTTACAAAACATTTTTATATTTTATATTTGACTCTTTGACCATCCTATACAGTAGCCAAGTGCAAATAATGTCATCTCCATTTTACTGATGAAGAAATCCAAAGTCAGGTAGTGTGATCTGCCTTGAGTCACTGAGCTAGTAAATGGGTCATGTTTTCTGACTTTTGTATCCACTGTATCCCGTGTTTTACTACATCCCTTTGTTTATTATTTCCTTCGTTTATACATCCTTTAATATTTCTGTGAACTCAGTTTAATTAGCAATCTTCTCCTTTCCTCTTTTAGGAGTTAAAGAGGAAAGAACCAAGCTTTGAATCTATGGATAACTGGATATTGATCTCTGTTCATCTACTTCCCAGGTGCCTGTCCTTGGACAAATTCAACTTATCTGAGCCTTAGATTTGTCCTCTTTGAGGGGGAAGATGATATAATCAGTGTAAAGGTCAATGTACCAAAAAAGAGAGTTTCATGAGAGCAGCAAGTTTTGTCTGTTTCATTCACGGCTGTATCATGAGCCCCCCCAAGGAGGGCTTGTTACGAGCAGGCATTCAGTCAGTATCTGTGGAATGAACGCATGGATGCATGGGAAGTCCCAGCTGAGGGCCTGACTTAATAAAAGGAGCGCAACAAAAGCGGCCATTATCTCTCACCCACTGGCCCAGCCTCTTTCCTTGTCCTCTCCTGCATTACCCAGCCCTTCAGATGGCACATCCCATCTTTCAATAGGGGATTGCTGGAGATTTGCCTTCCTAGGCTCAGAGCATTAGGGTTTGGGCCAGTCTCCAGGAGAGGAGCCCGGAGGTCCTCTGAGCAGCCAGGAGGGGGCAGCAGCCACGTCGCGATGGTTCCGGCTGGGGAAGGGTGCTCTCGCTGAGGAGATTGCGGCGGACCCGGAAGTGCTCCGCCACAGTCGCAGCCCCTGCGCCCCGGAGCGGGAAAAAGGCTGGGTGCCGCCGTCCCCCAGCTGCGCATCCCTAGGAACTCTCGGGCAGGTGGGTTCCGTGTAACCGTCAGTGTTTCCGGGGCTCCTTCTCCTCTGCTGTCTCTCGCAGGCTCAAGGCTGAGTGAGGGGTGGCGGCTGGAGTGGGAGGTCCGGAGAGTGAAGGCGCACCCCTGGGGTCACCCTACCCTGCCCTACCCTACCCTGTCCCCTCCCAGCCCCACTCTGCGGGCGGGCGCTGCCCTTTTGGGCGTCGCGAACCCTCCAGCCTCGGCGGTGGCCTTAAGATTCCCGGGCTGGGATCCCTGCTGCAGAGAGCGGGTAATGGTGTCTGGCCTGCCAGGCAACACTTGTCGTGGTCTTCATGGAAGAAATAAAGTCGGGCAATATGAATTTTTTTTTTCCTCAAATTTGCCGGATGCCTGTGGTGTTTCTGACTCTTAGTTTTCTCATTGTGAAAAAGGGATGATTACCTTTCTCGATCCTCGCAAGAGTTTCCTTGTTTTGAGTAGACTGATAGCTCTTTAAAGGATGCTAAGCTCAGCTAATGGAAGAAGAGTCTAGTTTCTTTGAGTCTTTGATTTTGGCTAAACAAACTGTAGAGCTCATACCTTTATGGTGCAGCTTACTATTGTCTTTGGATTGGTAATTTAAAAAATATAACATGCCTTTGAGAACCAATAAAAGCTATGGATATTATCCGTATAAATTCACACAAATCCGGATATAAGCATGCAATGTGATACACCGAAGGGGTATGTGAACCACTGAGTTAAGAACTGGTTTAGAGGGAGATACAACGTCAGACACAGGCTTTGGGATAAGACTTTGGTTTGAATCCTGGCTCTGCTCTGTTACCTTAGGGCAAAGTTACTTAAGCATCTTGAATCTCAGCTTTTTTACCAAAGTAGTACTAATACTAACTTGCAAGGTTGTGAGGATTAAGTGAAAGAAGATACATAAGGCATTTAGCACATAATAGGCACTCAATAAATGATAGCTAACAGATGTCTATTATTATTCAAGGAATTATAATTTTCAAATCTGAAATGCAGTTTTAATGTCCCAAATTAATAAGGTGACTACCACATACATTTTGCTCAGACTTTTAGTAAACTGAGTTGATTTGACTTTAACTCAGTACTACTCTTGACCTTTCACAACTTTCGTAGGTTCACAGTCTCTCTTTTTCTAGGAACTTGGCTGTGTTTTCCTGCCTCAGAGACAGATTCATCTGTTGTAGGCCTAGCCTGGGTTGCTGCCTTTGAAAACAAGGAAAGGTTGATAGAACATCAACCACAGCATGGAATTTCCAGGGAGGTCTCATTTCAAAACTTCATAAAGATCAAGAACCACCTGGACTTCTGTGAGGGCGATGATTAAACTGGCCTGAGTTTGAATGAAAGGATAATGTGTGCCCAACCTGTAACTAGCACCAAGGAGGTCAAGTGGCAGAAGGTCTTGTATGAGCGACAGCCCTTTCCTGATAACTATGTGGACCGGCGATTCCTGGAAGAGCTCCGGAAAAACATCCATGCTCGGAAATACCAATATTGGGCTGTGGTATTTGAGTCCAGTGTAGTGATCCAGCAGCTGTGCAGTGTTTGTGTTTTTGTGGTTATCTGGTGGTATATGGATGAGGGTCTTCTGGCCCCCCATTGGCTTTTTGGGACTGGCCTGGCTTCTTCACTGATTGGGTATGTTTTGTTTGATCTCATTGATGGAGGTGAAGGGCGGAAGAAGAGTGGGCAGACCCGATGGGCTGACCTGAAGAGTGCCCTAGTCTTCATTACTTTCACTTATGGGTTTTCACCAGTGCTGAAGACCCTTACAGAGTCTGTTAGCACTGACACCATCTATGCCATGTCAGTCTTCATGCTGTTAGGCCACCTCATCTTTTTTGACTATGGTGCCAATGCTGCCATTGTATCCAGCACGCTATCCTTGAACATGGCCATCTTTGCTTCTGTATGCTTGGCTTCACGTCTTCCCCGGTCCCTGCATGCCTTCATCATGGTGACGTTTGCCATTCAGATTTTTGCCCTATGGCCCATGTTACAGAAGAAACTAAAGGCATGTACTCCCCGGAGCTATGTGGGGGTCACACTGCTCTTTGCATTTTCAGCCTTAGGAGGCCTACTGTCCATCAGTGCTGTGGGAGCCATACTCTTTGCCCTTCTGCTGATGTCTATCTCATGTCTCTGTCCATTCTACCTCATTCGCTTGCAGCTTTTTAAAGAAAACATTCATGGGCCTTGGGATGAAGCTGAAATCAAGGAAGACTTGTCCAGGTTCCTCAGTTAAATTAGGACATCCATTACGTTATTAAGGCAAGCTGATAGACTAGCCTCCTAACTAGTATAGAACTTAAAGACAGAGTTCCATTCTGGAAGCAGCATGTCATTGTGGTAAGAGAACAGAGATCAAAACAAAAAAGATGAACCAAAGGCTTGGGTGGTGCGGGTTCTTATCCTTTCCGTTATTTTTTGGATGAAAATACTTTCTGGGACCCTCTTGAATTACATGCTGTAACATATGAAGTGATGTGGTTTCTATTAAAAAAATAATACATTTGTCAAGTTGTCTCATGATTTTTACATAAACAGTAGGCAGAGGGGCATGAAGAGTGAAGAGTGTGTGTGCGTGTGTGTGTGTGTGTGTAAAGTCACTTCTCTCTACCCTTTTCAATGTGCTAATGCTGTTTTATTTATCTAGGGTTCAAATCCTAGAACACAAGGTGCTGTGTTCAGTTTTGTTGCCCAATATCACAGAATTGGTTACCTAACCTTGACTCAGTTTCTACCTTGTTGTTAGGGAAGCATATACACAACTAATTACAAAGCAGAGTGTGATGTGTCATAATAAGCAGAATGCTAGGGGGAATTCAGAAGCTGGAGATAAATTTCAGCTGGAATAATTAGGAAATACTTATGAGAGGCAGTGACATTTGAGCTTAGTCTTGGAGGATAGGGAGACTTAAGTAGGCAAAAGATGGTTTTAGGGCAATGTGTTGAAGGCCTTTAGAGGCCAGGTCAGTAACGGAAGCAAGTGAAACTGGCATGCTTTGTGTGACTGATGGTAACTGTGAACAAATGGAGATGTCCAATGGAGACACCTGCTACAGTGCTCCAACTGATAGTTTCTATTCACAGTTTGTGCCTAGCTTCAGACTCTTAGAATTCCAGATAGGATTCTAAAAGAAGTCCCAGTAACTGTATATCTGATTTTTAATATGAAATCTGACTTGTAAATTCTCTCTCAAGTTTAAATTGATCAGGCTAAAAACACATTTGCAGCAACATAAGATTACTACTGTACCACATCTGTCCTTAGCATGGGCACAATGATGGGACAATATTTGATGGCACTTCAGAGTTATGGGGAGTTTTGGGAGGTGATATTGGGAAAAAGTCAGAATGGGAGGTTGAGTAGCAATTCGAGGGCTGTGAATTTGGGCTCTATACTGTAGGTAATGGGGAGCAATCCATTTTGTCTAAGGAGGAAATAAATCATCACATCTTAGGCCACAACTGTTCTGTGTCTCAGTTTTCATCTGTAAAGTGGGAATAAAAGTATCTACCTCTAGAATTGTGGTAAATGGGATATATGCAAAGTGCTTTGAAGAATGCCTGACACGAAGCACTATGTATTAGCATCAGCACTATATAATAGCTAGTACTAATGTATTAGGTGTTGTTTAAGTTGACATGTAAGAAAACCTAAAGAGAGCAGAGACAAGGTGCCAAATGCAGCAGGCACCTCCCAGGATAGCTGGTTATTCCTGTGGTAATTCATTTGCGGCAAGTTTCTGTACTGTCCTTTTATCACTAGGAATTAACTTCAAATCAGAAATTTTGTCAAGGGAGTGGTATTACTAAAAAATAATATTTTTATTTATTTGAACATAAATTTCTCGAGAATGTCTGGGACATGACTTTGAACTAGTGTCTTCAGCGCTTC